TTTCTTCCCTCTCCCTCCCTCCCCCCTACCTTTCGTTATTACGTCGAAAGCCCCGCTTTCCCCCCCTCCCCCTCCCCCGGCCATCCCGCTACACCCCCACCCTCGATGGTACCGCTTCAACCCCACCCCCTCCCCAGTCATCCCTCCCTGCGGCAATGATCGAGGGTGGAGAGGGAGGGAGAAAGGAGCAAGAAAGTGACGCTCCTGGGGGAGAGGTGGACCAGCGATATCAAAGACAATTTTCTTCGCTTTTAACACTGCAACTTGAGCCCCTAGCGGGGTGGGGCGAAAGACTCCTCCCTGGATCCACCAGTGTTCGAGAGTCGTTTAGAAGTAAACTGATCTCAGGATCGACTTACAGGCTTATGCCAGTGGCAATTTACCACTGAAACGAATCGTAGAGAAATTGGCTGCTCCATCGTGTAGGAGTGGTAACACATGAGGTCTTCGGGTAGCTCCCTCTTTCAAGAGATCCCATGAATGTATGGTTTGATAATTTCTACTATTTGAAAATTTTTACGAACCTTTTAGGAACAGTCGGTACTTCTAAGTGAAATAAGTATGTGCCAGACAAGTAAAAAAATCAAGCTATTGACTAATTGAGGCTCGATAGTTCACGGATGTTTTTTTTTTTTTTTTCATAATAAGAGCAGAGCAAGCAGCACTCCGCAGTAAAAACATTAAAAATTGTTACAGGGTCTGGATGCTAGCAATCTGGATGCGTCATCCGTGTCATTAGGATCTCTTAATAGATCTGGAAGTACTCGACGAATTGGAAGCAAAAATGGAAGAGGCTGCGCAAGCGTTCCTCAAGGCACGCAACAGGATTTAGATAAAATGCGAAGTGATCTTGTCTCGAACGAGTAAATCTTCCCTTTGAAATTACACTTCTGAAAGTCAAAGAACAAGACTGATACCTGCCAGCAACCGGGCAAAAATATCTATTTTGCTGACTCACTAACCACCGACCAATCTCGAATAACCAAAGGTCGTGAGAAGTTATGAAAGATTTCACTTTTGAAATTTTTCAATATCATTTGAGAACGAAAAGCTACCTGAACAGTGCATTTTCCTCATTCTTAAAAGATGCGTTTTCCTCATTCTCAACGAACAGTTTTTTAACTTTTATTTTTTTGGTAAATAGTTCAGCTCTGCATGGCGTGTGTAAGCATTTCAGTAAAATGGTTAACACGGAATCCTCGCACTCACTGTCCTGAATGTGTCGCACACTAGGGAGTCCAAATCTCTATCAGTTTGCTTTTAAACAGTCTTCAGAAAAAAGGGTATCGCTAGCCTTACCCAGCAGTTGTTTACTGCTGGCACTTGCTACACTCAGCTGTTTCTCAGTGCTGCGTTTGCCTGTCATGGAAAATATGAAAGGGAGTTTGATTTTGACTGCACGTATAAAAGAGATATTAGTTATGGTATACACAGAAATATAAAACTGTATCAAAAAATTGGAAGAACATGAATATTTCGGTCCGTTAAGTCGTAAACACTCCTATTGCTCATTGCAACTAGACCTCATCAGTACGTCGGTTGTAGTGCTGATAAAAATAAATGAATATATTAGTACCAACTCTATAAAGTACTAGTACCAACTTTTAAATATTTTGGAGCCTAGGATAAGGAGATAGCAGGATTACGATAGGAATGAACAAAAACCAACAAATAGATTGCAGCAAAAAAATTTTTTGATTTTCTGTACAATTAGCGCTTAACATTTGTTGAGATGGGACCGACGAACAAACGGATTAAAGAACTTTGCGGAGCTAGTGGCCAAAAACGCTCAAACGGCAATGTCAGACACGAAACTCGTCGAGGCATTTGTTTGCCGAACATCCGACATCAACTCCAAAGTATCGCTCGATGCCATGGAAATACTGATCACTGTGCTTCCAACGCTTGCCGGGTAAATTAAACTAAAGATATCACTATTTCTTACTGTTTTACTCCAGCATCACTTTAGCTCCACAGAGTCAGCGCAAGTTGTCTTGCTGATTTTTGCTATCAGTTGTTACTTTGCAGAAAAGTCTGCGTTTACATAACTTACGGAATCGAGTTGTTAAAGTCGTTTCAAAACACTGAAAGTAAATGAGTTGCCAGTTTAGCATGTATGCGAGGCCTTCTGTATTTATCAGACATGATTCCGTCCAGGCTAG